GGGTGTAAATCTTTACGGGAGTAGAAAGCCTCATCTTTCTCCCGCGGAGCGGCTGGTAGTTTCGAACCGCTGACCCTAGGCTACTGAAAAGACCATTTGCTTGAATGAGGCTCATCTTAGTCCTCAAACTGACATCTGTGCTCTTTAGCACTTTAAAGAGATCTTGTGCAGCAGATGTGCCTAATGCAATCCGTCATTTGATTTCTTGACTGCTGCTTCCATGAGAGCTGATTGTGGATCCAAGCAAAACGAAGAAGTCTTTAATATTTCAATCTTTTCTCCATTTATATTTATTTAACTACTACTTAAACATAGACATAGAAAGGAGAAACTGAGGGAACCAGAGGGACACAGTCTGAGAAGGTGACATTTGAAGTGAGATCTGAATTCTGAAAATTATAGGATCACTCTGATTACAAAAACACATGGTGCAAGCAGGGAATATCTTAACATCTTTGGAAAATGGTGGAGTTTTTTTGTGTTTTGTTTTTTTTTAAAGCATTAACAACTTAACTAACATGAGGGTTGGTATTATAAATCAGGAGCTGCCCAACTATGACCCTGTTGACCTACATAAAATAAAATAAAGCCTGCGTAACTAAGGCCGTGTTGACCTACATAAAATATATGGGTTTTAATCAACATGTCACTGATAGCTTACTTGGTTTATATTTTTAAAATAGGACATTTGCAGCTAGGTGGACCATCTACCTTCTTATAACGAACATAGGAGAAAGTTCAGAGTCTATTTTCATAAGGTGGATCTCAAGAGTAGTATGAACTAGGATTGCAGCCATGAGAACAGGACATGGAGAGAGCGAGCAGCTGAGGACTCTAGACTCATGGAAATAGAGGGCCTGAGTGATGGCGGTCAGGAGGCAGACTTGGAGAATGTGTCCCTTGATTGTTTAAATTATTCTATATTCCTGAAGGTTTCTGTGTACACCCCCCCTCTAGTCACCCCCACTTTGCCCCCTCAAAAAAGCAATTGCTGCCCTGCCAAACCTCAAAAAAAAAACAGAGTGATGGAGGACTATTGGTGGGGCTGTAAAATGGTACAGTTTTTATGAAAAACATCTTGGTGGTTCTTCAAAGACTTAACCATACAATTCCCCTATGACCCAATGAAATGACCATTCTTAGGTAGAAGACTTGAAAGCCAGGATACAAGCAGGTACTTTCACACCAATGTTCACTGCAGCACTAGTTATAAAAGTCACAAAGGGGAAACCAGCGAAATGTCCATCCACGGATGCATGAGTAAACAAAGTATAGTGTCGTGGATAAACAAAATACTCACACTAAACCGAACAACCAAACCGACTGCCAATGAGCTGATTCTGATTAACAGAGAGCCTACAGGACAGTTTTTCCAAGGCTGTCACCCTTGTAAGGGGCTGTACAGTAACAGTGGACTGTCAATCACAAGGTCAGTGCTTCAGACACATCAGTCACGCTTCAGAAATCCTATACTAAGCCTCTATGATGAGTAAGAACCAAATTGATGGCACTTAACAAAATCTAAGAAGCAGACTGTCACATGTTTCTCCGACAGAGCAGATGGGGGTTTCAAACCGCTGACCTTAGAGTTAGCAGCTGAGTGCTTAGCTGCTATGCCACCAGGGCTCCTATTATTCAGTAGCGGAGTGGTTACGAATGGAGCTGCGAACCACAAGGTCAGCAGTTCGAAACTACCAGCTGTTCCGCGGGAGAAAGATGAGGCTTTCTGCTCCCATAAAGATTTACAGCCTCGGAAACCCTGTACGGGGTCACTATGAGTCGGAACCGACTCCACCGCACATGACAACAACAACAAAGTGAAATTCAGTTCTCATAAATGCTAGTACATTGAGGAACCTTGAAAACACGGTGCTAACCAGAATGGAAATACAATATGAATATATCCAATGTCACTGAACAATTATTGTAGAAATTATTGACTGGGGACCTATTTTTCTAAGTAAATTTTGATAAAGTATAGTATTCTTTTGAAAGGAAAAAAAAACTCTATGAATTAAGCCAGCCACAAAAGACCAACTATTCTTTTTAGGCCTAAAGATTAATCTATAATAGCCTGCTTGAACCTTTTCCTGTAGAAATAAAAATGTTAGATTGCTAAAAAAAAAAAAAAGACCAACTAAAAGGAGCTCTGGTAGCGTAGTGGTTATGAATCGGGCTGCGAACCTTAAGGTCAGCAGTTCGAAACTACCAGCCGCTCCGCGGGAGAAAGATGAGGCTTTCTACTCCCGTAAGGATTTACACCCTCGGAAACCCTGTACAGGGTCGCTATGGGTCGGAACCGACTCGATGGCACTTAACAACAACAACAATTGTTATACAATCCCACTTACATGAAATATCTAGACTAGGCCAACGTATAGCAACAAAAGTGTATAACTGATCATCTAAGGCAGATGAGCTGGAGGAAGGGGAAATTAATCCTGCAGAAGAATCCAGTTTCTGCTCAAGGTGATGAAAAACTTGAAAACTAATAGTGGTAATAGATGTACAACATGGGGAAAGTAATTTATTGAATTGTGCAAATAAAAATGGCTAATATGGGAAAGGTTTTGGTTATATGTACCTTGCCACACACTTACATACACACACACACACAATAAATACATAAAATGATACCATTACCAAAAAAAAAAAAAAAACTATACACTTAGTTTCTTAGCCAAGGTATGTTGATGAAAGGAAGGAAATTTAGACACTTGTAAGGATAAAGGAGCTCTGGTAACATAGTGGTTACAAATCGGGCGGGGAATCTCATGGTCAGCAGTTCAAAACTATAAGCTGTTCCACAGGAGAAAGATGAGGCTTTCTGCTCCTGTAAAGATTTACAGTCTCGGAAACCCTGTACAGGGTCACTATGAGTCAGAACAGACTCCACAGCACATAACAACCACAAGGATATATGGAAGTAAATAAGACAAAATTTAATGCCACATTTAGGGCATGCTAACATGGTGTGGCGCTGTGGGCTAATGTGTCAGACTGCAAAGTCATTTGAACTGCAAGGTTGATGGTTCAAGCTCACCAGGTGCTCCTTGGAAACCCTCTACAGGGTCGCTATGGGTCGGAATCAACTCGCCAGCACTTAACAACAACATAGAAAAGGAATCTTGGTATAGAACCGTAGGATAATGCAATGCACTGGAATACATGGTCAGTTGGGGCCACAAGGTTGACAGTTCAAACCCAACAGCCACTCTGTGGATTGCTATGAGTCGGAACCAACTCAACAGCACTTAACAACAACATAGGGATATACAATCACATTTGTGAAACTGCAGTGTATACAGGATGACTTCGTCAGGCAAATGGCTAGGGAGCATCTGCTTAGTGATATGGAAACAAAACCAGTAATAGGGTTACTCCATAAAAACAAATAAACCTGGTGAATTACAATTCTAAACAGTGAAAAAAGAGAGAGATGAGGCTAATGACAATGGAGTCAGCAATGAATTCACAAACACAACACTTAAGTTTGTTGCTGTTGTTAGTTGCCCTGGAATGGGATAGGCTCATAGCAACCGTATACACAATGGAAGGAAACACTGCCCGGTCCTGGATCATCGTGACAATTGTTGCTGTTCCGTTTGGGCCCACTGCTGCTGCCACTGTGTCACTCCACTTCCTTGAGGGTCTTCCTCTTTCCCACTGACCCTCCCTTTCCCAAGCATGCTGTCCTTCTCCAGGAACTGTCACAAACGACACTGAAATTTACCCACTTTTAATATCTGAAATGTTATATGCAACTGCTGTTAAACTCAAGTCTACGTATTTTTTCCTATCTTTTGTTCTATATAAAATATACTTTCGTTGCTTTCACATTTAGTTGATTCGATATACACAAATTTTCTTCGTTCTACATTTGGTTTTAAAAGAAACATATTCTATAATCATATCAAAGATGCCATACACAATTCTTTATTCAGTTTAAGCTTCATGTTCAAAATTATTTACTATAAATTATGACTTGTTAACAGTTGCAACTTCACATTTATTTAAGCAACTTAACGGCACATCACCACACCACCATAGAAAAGTAATTTGTTCTGAAACTGTCCCTCAAACCACAATACAATGGTTTAAAAAAAAAAAAAAAAAAAAGAGTACTTTGTAAAAGAATTACTACAAAAGATCAAGTGCTTTCTGCAACACTGTAGCATAGCTGACGCACGCTCTCTATACTGTTTCCTTAACATTGCCATCCTTCCCAAACATTTGATGCTCTGACCCGGCTTTTGTTCCAAAAAGGAGTCTATCTATTAAGAAATGTGGATTCTTGTTAGCAGAAATGTTGGTTCAATCACCGGCATCCAATCCCACAAAGATTTTGTTGCCGCCAGATCTTAGGATCCTGGAGACACACGGGGTGTGTGATCTCCCTATACAGCGCTCTTTACTACACTAAGCTTGTTCAACCACATCAATTTTACTTCTCATGAGCTAGTATTGGCCATATTCTCATACAATCATGAAGACCATTTCTACCTTACAACAAAAGACACTCCGCAAAATATGCCGCTTACTTTTTAAATGTTTTCTTCCCAGTAGGCATCAATATGTTCCTAAAGGCTTTCAGAAATTTGCAGCTTTGAAAAGCCCATACAGGTTCACGATGAATCGGAACCGACTCAACAGCACTTAACAATAACAAGCGCACGTACTAGTTCCACCTCCCGTTTCTGAATTCTTTATCTGTGCAAAAAAGCCTAGGGTCATTAAAGGAGAAGGGAGGTCCTTTTCTCACCACGATCTTACTTTTTGTCTGATCAGCAGAACGAAACAACACTCCTGCCTTGATGAAGCACACAAAACAAAGGGGAGCAGGAGGAAGGAAGGAAGCCGGGAGGAGGTGGAGCAGGTCGTCCGTCCCCGGGGACTACCCTGGGTGTCCAAGAGGCCCGTGACACTGCGTTTCTCACAAGCTCCCATGTGGGGCGAAAGCCGCTGGGAAGTACACTTTCAGCGGATTTACACTATTTTACCTGTGAATGCACAACAAACTTAAGTCCAGGGCAGCAACTCTTAGCTGCGGAATGGGCGGGCAGGTCCGGGTGCACCAGGGACACGGCGAAGCCAGCCGTGGCCAGACTGTAGCTGCGGCGGCGACCGCCGCAGAAAAGCGTTTGCGGAGACAGGAAAGCCGAGGCAGAGGTGGGAAGGCCCCAGGGACAGCCCTACTAGAGGAAGTTAGGTCTGCGACGGAAAGCTAGAGTTGCACCCAGTGTCCCGCAGGCTGAACCTGGTACAGGAAGAGAAAGGACTCAACAAACGTAAAACCTACCTTTCGCCTTCCAAAGCCGAAGCAGGACCAAATATGGCTGCCGACCAAGAACGCCCACTTCCGATTCCGGTTTCTGGGACAGAGCCGACAAATGGAGACGTTCTATGGGCGGGCTCTAAAGAACCACCCACTGACCATAGGGTTTCAGGATCTTTCACTGGAATTTGTAACCTGTCCAGGCCACTGTATCATTCCATCTCGTTGAGGAGGGCTCCCTGTTTTCTATTAACCCTCAACTTGAACAATCATGATATGTTTTCCAGGGACTGATTCCTCCAGATTGTTGTTTGCTGTTGTTAGGTGCATTCGAGTCGGTTCTGATTTATAGCGACTGTGTGAACAACAGAATGAGACACTGCCAATCTTGCTCCATCCTCACAAATCATATTACACTTTGCACTTACTGCTGCAAACGCTATGCAAATCCATCTCGTTGGGATCTTCCTCTTTGGAGCTCACCCTTCACTTTCCCAAGCACAATGTTCTTCTCCAGGTACTGATCCCACCTGACAATATGTCAGAAGTATGAGAGACAAAGTATCGCCACATATAATCCAGCTTCTCGGATTCTTAGCTCAGCATACAGATTAAGTAAGTATGGTGAAAGAATACAACCCTTAACTCACACCTTTCCTGACTTTAAACCACTCAGTGTCCACTTGTTTTTCTGGAACGATTGCTTCTTGGTCTACATACAGGTTCTCCATGAACACAATTAAGTGTTCTGGAATATCCATTCCTGGCAATGTTATCCACAGCTTGTCATGGTCCACACAGTCAAAATCCTTTGTATAGTCAATAATGTATCAAAAGTACCGGAGACACCACTGAGTACTATCCGATCTGTCTGGGCGGGGCTAATGAAAGGAGATGAGGATAGGTCCCTTGTGGTACAATGGAAAATAATTGTTATCAGGACTGACCACAAGGGTTGAATATGTAAAGGTGGATATTTTGTAGCAAAAGGAGGGGAGTGATTGACTTTGCAGTCCAGGAGCGGAGGTCCCTGGAACCATCAAGGGAGAAGAGCAGAGTGCGAGACCCTACCCAGAGAAGCAGTGACACCAGAGATGGAGGCAGAGGCGACGATGTGGAGAGATGGAGCAGCCAGGGACTCTACACCCAGAGAGGGAGATGGGCTGTGTGCTGATAACTAGGGTACAGACTTGTAGGGTATACTTTTTGGTTGATTGATGACTCATGGAAGGGACTGTAACCATGGCAATGAAATGATATACGATAGGATGAATGTAAAACTAATGTTCTCCTATTTGAACTATCACATAATTCACAATATGAAAACATTTAAAAAAAAAAAAAGTACATGAGACAGAGGTGGGGCTTCATGGAGGATAGGATAGAGGTGCAGTGAAGTTCATCTTCAGCAATACCACAGATTACCAGGAGAAGCAGGTTCAAGGCAGAGCTCCAAAACTCTGAACCACACAGGTAGGAATAACCACATAGGTAAAAAGTTTGAATGCTTATAGCTAGCAGAACTTGTAGCAGAAGTAAGAAATCACGTACTTTTGAATCTGCCGGGCTCGGCAGCCTGTAGCCCATAACTTGGGTGAGACCAAATGGCAAGACCAAGTGGGGGAACAAACTCACCATGGAACAATACCCCAGAAACCTCAGAGCAAAGGTGGACAATACACTTTGTCAGTTTTGCTTTGCTTTAATTTTCTTTTTTCTTTCTTTTCTTTTTTTTTTTTTTTTTTGTATCTGTTCATTGGCTACCCACTGTTTGTGCACCTCCATTCTGGTGACTAGAGGGGGTGCCTGAGCACCCCCACCCACACCGCTGGTGGGTTCTGGCATACATGCACACAGAAACTCTCAGCCCAAGAGCCAGCCCTGAACTGTTTTTTAATAGGGAAAAGGCCAGAACAAGGGATGTGGAGAGGAAAAGAGTATAAAAACAAAACAGGCCAAAAATTAAATTAAATCTTGACATATAGCATAACAACCAAGAGTGGCATCTTGAAATTCATCAGACGGCCTTGAAGGCAAGAAGCTGAAAGAAGACATAAAAGTCATATTCATATTAGGCTACAGATTTTTTTATTTTTCTTTTCTCCATCCTCTTCCCTTTCTGTGATTATAGACTACAGTATCCAGTCAATTTTTGTTGTTGTTGTTGTTGTTGTTGTTGTTGCTGTGCTTGTTGTCATGGTGGGTTATTTTTTTTCTTGATTTTTTTGCTGTTGCTGTTTTTCTGTATTATGCTCCCCTTTTTACCTTTGGTGGACTCTCTCTCCCTATTTTATCCAATAACAGACAACAACTGCAGCCGTATAGTCAAGCTACAATCACACTCTATAAAACACCAAAACCCAGGCAAAAACCAATACCAACTGCCATACACCAGGGAGGCAGACAACACCTGTGAAAGTTACTCTGAAGTAAGCAATAAAAGAGTGAAAAGGGAAGCCCACATCCTGATCACATCTATCTGGAGGCAATCAGAAAGCATAAAAAATACCAAAACACACACTCAATTAAGTATTAAGGCCACAGACATATCCAAGAAGCAAAAGCAAATTACCATATCAGCACATATCCAGAAATAAGATAAAATGTCTCAGACAAATAACCTACAGGTAGACCTAGAGTACATTCTAGAAGGAGGACTTATATTGGAAATGCCTGAGAAGGAATTCTAAAAATGATTATAAACTGTTTCAAAACACTTTACAGTGGAGTTGAAAAAAATAAGGAAGAAGTCAGGAAAGCACTACAAGAACAATCAAATAACATAGATACAGCATTGGAAACAATTCAAAACATACAGAAAGAGGTCCAAATGGTCAATAATAGAATATCAGAAATAGACAATACTCTGAAAGGGCAAAGGAGTAGAATAGAAGAGACAGAAGGCAGAACCAGTGAGCTGGAAGACAAACTTTCAAATATCACTAAGATAGAAGAGTAATCAGAAAAAAGGATTTAAAAAATCTGAAGAAGGTATAAGATTCATGTTGGACAACATGAAAAGGAATAACTTAAGAATTATTGGCATTTCAGAACAGGAAGAATCACACAAGTCCACAGAGTAAATAGTTGAAGAACTGCTGGAAGAAAATTTCCCTAACATCCTGAAAAGTGAAAAGATAAACATTCAAAAAGCTTAATGAACTCCAGGAAGGATAGACCCCAAAACAAAATCACCAAGACATATCATAATCAAGCCCTCCAAAATCAAAGATAAGGAGACACTCCTGAAAGCAGCTAGTAAAAAGAGATGTGTTACATACAAAGGCAAGCAAGTCAGATTAAGCTAAGATTTCTCAGCAGAAACCATGCAAGCAAGAAGGCAATGGGGAGACATATATAAAATCCTGAAAGAGAAAAACTGTCAACCAAGAATCTTTTATCCAGCAAAGCTGTCAATCAAATATGACAGTGTAATCAAAACATTCCAGGATAAACAGAAGCTAAGGGATTTTGCCAAAGCCAACTTAGCTCTAGAAAACATCCTAAAGGGAGTTCTGTGGACTGAGAACCAACAAGAACAGACAACAACCCGAGACTGACATACATGGCAGCACTTCTCAGAACTAAATCAAAAAAAGGAAGAGTAAAGAACAGAACAAAACTATAAGAACAAAATCAAGTATCTGGAAGGTCAGTCTATTATCAAAACAATTGCAATGTAAAAGAAGATAAACTCATAGGAACAAAGATCCAGATGGTGAGAAGGTCAGGTAGATTACAGGATTAAATAGACTGCACGAAATGGAGGGAAAAGTTAATGGAATATAAGGTAACCTCAAAGAAAATTAATACTTTACAACATACCAAGAAAATGAAAATCCAAGAAGAACATGGAAACATTAAAACTATGAAGAAACTCACAAGGAATAACACAAAAACATTAACTCAGCAAAGGAAAATACACAGAACAAAGAAAGTAGCAACACCACAAAAAACAAACAACAACAACAACAAAACATAATGGCAACAATTAATCCATACCTATCAATAATTACACTGAACGCAAATGGATTAAATGCACCAGGTAAAAGAAGGAGGGTGGCAGAATGGAAAAGAAAACAAGATATTTCAATACGCTGTCTGCAAGAGACTCATCTCACACACAGAAAGAAAAACAGATTAAAAGTCAAAGGATGGAAAATATATACCAAGCTAATTGCTCTGGTAGCGTAGTGGTTACAAATCGGGCTGCGAACCTTAAGGTCAGCGGTTCGAAACTACCAGCCGCTCCGTGGGAGAAAGATGAGGCTTTTTACTCCCGTAAAGATTTACACCCTCGGAAACCCTGTTACAGGGTCGCTATGGGTCGAAACCGACTCAACGGCACTTAACAACAACAACAATTGTAATCAAAAACTAACAGGAATGCCAGTATAAATCTCTGATAAAATAAACTTTAAGGCAAAAACTAGCATAATAGATAAAGATGGACATTATCATATGATTAAAGGGACAATTGAACAAGATGACATAACCACAATAAATATCTATGCTCCCAATGAAACAACTCCAAACTATATAAAACAAACTCTAATAGAGAGTTTGATACATTAAACTCTAAAGACCGAAGATCAGAAGAGTTGTGGGATGACATCAAGAACAACATATGTGAACAAAGCAAAAAGTCATTAAGAAGTCAAGAAAGAAGGAAAAGGTCAAAATGGATGTCAGAAGAGACTCTGAAAATTGCCCTTCAGCGCAGAGATACTAAAGCAAATGGAATAAATGAGGAGGTCCAAGAGCTGAACAGAAAATTTCAAAGATCAGCTCCAGATGATAAAGCCAAATACTATAATAAAATGTGCAAAGATCTGGAATCAGAAAACCAAAAAGGAAGAACACGGTCAGCATTTCTCAAGCATGGGGAACTGAAGAAAAACTTCAAGCTTCAACTTT